AAAAAAATTTGCAGGCTAACATTTTAGTGAGTCGGCTAATAGAATGTAGGCACAAAACTAGCAAGCTAGCTAGTAACCTCAAGCATAGCTACACAAACTATTCTCATGGTTAAGTCATTATTGATAATTTTCTAATACATTTCAGCACTGTTGAAACTTATGAAACTTTATGTTTGTATTATTATACTAATCAGTCATCTGCCATAATTTTCAATTGCAGTTATTTTTATTAGCAAAATCCACTATTGGTCGACCTGTATTCATAGCCAAAAAAAAAAAAGGTCTCAAAACCTAGCGAGTTGCCAATATCTAAACTTTTTTGGGCATGCTATGTACGAAATGTCTCACAAACCTTGCAAGCTGCCTACCTAGACAGCATTTTGGGGCTGAGTATCTATTACGCACTCCACAAAACCAAGTGACCTGCCCACATAGACAGCATCGGTGAGCATCACAGGTGCGACATGAATTTCAAAACTTGCCACCTAAGCCACCTAAACACTATTTTGGGCTTCCCAGGTGTATAAATCATGTGTAGGCAGACCACTAAGACAGCATTGACAGCATTTCTCGAACCCCAGAGCACCATCTGTTGTGTGCTCCTATCGGACATGAGTGACTCATTATGGTTTGGGCTGGGCAGAGTAAATATCCGAGACACGGCGAGGGATCTGAAAACACATGGCCTATGGATTCATTTGTTGATTCTGCTCTCCTCTGAGGTGTTGCGAAGGTCAGGACGCGCTACGAACTACTGAACAAGCACACACACACACTCGCACACACAGAACAAGAACAGGAACAGAAGGGACTGCAGAAGGTTGTTTTCTCTTTCGTTTTCACTTTCCACTTGTGAATGAACTGTGTGTACTGGTTTACATATCCTGGTGGGGACTTAAACCTGACTACACACAGACTTCATGGGGACTCGTGTCACGGTGGGGACCTAAATTGTGGTCCCCACGGGTACAAAAGCTTATAAATCATACAGAATGAAGTTTTTTGAAAATCTAAAAATGCACAAAGTTTCCTGTGAGGAAAAACCATTACGCCTATGGAGAGTCCCCACAAGGATAGCTGACCAGACATGTGTGTGTTTGTATTTTACACAACAGAAATTGACAACACTGTCAACTTACAGTTTAACTACTCAAATGTGCACAAGAGCCAAGGGTACTTTAATTTTGTGTTGCCTGTATATGCTTTTTTGGGTAACACTTTATTTTACGGTGTCCTTATTACACATGTTACATGTACTTACTATTATAATAACAATTAATTATGCATAATTACATGCAAGTAACCCTAAGCCAAACCCTAATCCTAACCCTAACCATACAGTAAGTACATGTAGTTAATTAATATTACTCAGTACTTAAAGGTGCAGTAGTAGGAGATCTCAGAAAATGCTAACTTTAACGCCCCACCCTCCCTGCAATCGCCGTCCAAAGCCACGCCCCCTAAACACATATGCTCACAGACCAGAGACAACATTACTACAATAGGCTACATCAGCGGTTCC